CGTTGCCCATTAACCTGGAATTATGCCAGTAATTCTGCCTACATGGTATCTACACATGGAGGAACAATGATGGGAGCATGTAAGGCAGCACATCACCTGCCTCACCACAAACACAGCATGCAAGATGATGCCACAGTTCCTCACTCAGAGAAGCTCAAAATTTTGTCTCTCCCTCACATGCATCATTAATGAAAACAAGGTTCCATTGGTATATCTGTGGCATTCTAATAGTAGTACTTCTGCAGAATCCTACAAACCTGGGGCACCATATGAAAGTGTTGTGTGTTAGCTTTAGTGTTGCTTTGTTTAGAAAAGGCTATCTGTCCCTCTTTACTCTTTACAACATGCTACATTATTCATTAGTATCATGCCATTAGTGAATTACTATTACATTGCTTTTTTTTACGAAAGTTATGCTTTAAAATACAGAACCAGGATAAAATTGCCAGCAATAAAATTACCAAAATGAATCCAAAACCAACAAGTAACAATTGTGGCAAACATTACAGATATGAAAAAAAAGTGTGTTAGGACTGCATTTGCCCCTTTGTTAAACCCCAAAGTAACATGTTAAAAGATTATATTTTTACTTGGGACTCATTACTTCTATTTGTTGGCCCTCCAATTACAGAAATCTGGTTAAAAAGTCGGATCCTTTTTGAATGTGGTGGAAATGGAGGCACAATGGTGACCACAAGAACAACTGTTGTGATAATAAGGCTCTTTGTTCGGTGGGGGAAAGTACTCTTTTTGTTGTGCAGGGCAACATTATTTCAACAGAAAATTCTTCAAATTATACAAGCCCCATTTCTTTCTTTGAGACTGAAGGCCAAGTAGACAATGACCTGTAGCCAGGGACAGTAAACTTTCTGAAGGAGATTAATTAGCATCCAAAAGGTCTTCCAGCAACAATTCCCTGGTGGGTAAGGAGGCTGCAGTATGGATTGGAAGGTTCCCAGCTGGCTCTCTCAAGATGAAGTAAAAGTAACCAAGGAGGGAAATCTTATTGCTTCTGCCATCCATTTAACATCAATCTCTAGACATGATTTACTAGAAGTCTTGTTATAGATGGACATTTAACAAAATAATCTAAACGATATCATTCAGAGAACAGAGGCAGCTGGGAGTAGTGGTTTATTGTTCAGTTCAACACCTCTCTATATATTTTATGAATGTTCCCCTGTGTAGTTAGTTTACTACACAAATACAGAAATAATGTTATTCACAAAAATAAAAATTCATGGATCCAGTTGGAGAATAGTTTATACTGAGGAAAAAAATAATAATACTCTTTTTGTTTTTTAAAGGAATGGGCTCCTAATGAGTTTAGTCTGAAGTCCCATTGTTTCCTTCTTATGGAGAGTTAGCTTCATTGCGCACAATGAAACTAAGGGGGGTTGCAGACTGCCAGAAATAGTGCAAATTGAGTCCACTTTTAGGGTTAGGGTTAGTGCTAGGGAATCATGGGAATTTTTTTTTCTGAGACATTGAGCCTTCTCTGTCAGAGAGCTCTGGTGCCACAATAAAATACAGTTCCCATGATTCCCTAGCACTAACCCTAACCCTAACCCTAAAAGTGGACTCAATTTGCACTATTTCTGGCAGTGTGCAACCCCCCTTAGTTCTTAAAACTTTATTTTATTTATATGCCATGCTTTTCAAGGTGAGATGAATTTGCATAGCAGCTTATGAAATGACTACAGCAGTACAATTACAATTAAATTAATATGAATTACAACATAGCTTAAAAACTCTCATATTTTAAAACACAATATGTTAGCATGAATAAAATTTAAAAACAATTTTTAAAAATCTCCTCCAAAATTCCTGTTACAGTTAAAGTATTAAGATTCCAGTAAATCAAGAAATAGGTTAAGGGAGTTTTGGAAATTAGGGAATGACCTTCAGAGTTAAAAATTTCAGTTGAGTCATCTCTGAAAATGCCTCAAGGAGATTGCTATGATCATACAGCCGTTGAACTGGAAGAGATACCAATAATCACATAGTCTGCCTTCATGCTAAAAGGCAAAGGGTTCCTTTTGAAAAGGTTGTCAAATTATGCCCAACTGCAGGGGGCAGTGCTCATCTCTGTTACTCAGCCAAAGATCAGCATTGTCAAGGACAATTCCATAGTCATGTGGCCAGCATGACTGAATGGAAAGCTGTTATTTTAGCACTGATGTAGTACCTATTTATCTACTTGCACTTTCACATGCTTTTGAACTGCTAGGTTTGCAGAAACTGGGACTAGTGATAGGGGCTCACTCCCTCATGTGGCATTAGGTCTTGAACTGCAGACCTGCTGATCTTGCAATTGTCAGAGTCAGCTTCTTAACCACTGAGCCACTGCACCCCTACTTCATGCTAGCAAGGGAATAATCCACAGCTAAAGTATTCCTGATTGATGGCCATCTAGCCTCTCTTTGAAAACCTCAAATGAAAGAGAGTTCACCACCATTTTATGGCATCACATGGTCCATTAATGACATAATAGCCCCCAGCTATCTGTAACCCCTGGCTCAGTTGTGGTCTTTCATGAACATTCCCCTTGTATGAGGAGCAGTAAAATACTCCTTGAAGTAACCCACATCCAGAACAGTGTGATTCAGCTTGTCCCTCTTGTTTCTGTACTGGGAATAATATTATATTCTGTGCAAACTGAAGATTTTTTGACAGAAGTGTTAATACTGACAGACATGGGTTTATGCCTGTAGATGCCAGCTTTCAGCACTGTAGTGTTTCCAAAGGTGAGAGTGACATAACCTGAAAATCTCCCTGTCCACTTTGGTGTTGGTGAACAATATCCATTTGGGCCCTTGTAAGCGAGCATGTTATAGTGCTTTGAGCACTAGACTGTGACTCTGGAGAGCAGGGTTCGAATCCCTGCTTGGCCATGGAAACCCACTGGTGACCTTGCACATCACACTCAGAGAAAGGAAATGTCAAACCTCCTCTGAACAAATCTTGCCAAGAAAACTCCATGACAGGTTTGCCTTAAGGTCACCATAAGTCAGAAACAATTTGAAGGCATGCAACAACAACAACAACAACAACAACAAATCAGTATGGAAAGGGATCTTGTAGCATCTCAAAGTTGCTACAAGAGCCCATTGCATACTGATTTTCCAGACTAAGATGGCTATGTCTTTGAATTCTAACAACAACAAATGGCTCATCAGATTCCATGCTAACAATGCCATCATGCATCAGGACCCATTCAAATACCTGCCATTCTTATCCAGCATCAGAGGCATAGTTCTCAAAGCAAGAACAGAAATTAGTGGTTATTTGTTGAGGCAGATGAGTTTCTGACTCTTAAGGATTAGATTACACTCCTTTGAATGCTAATCTGGTGGTATAGTTGACAGAAAAATCAGAGAGTTTGACTCAGTTTCCTTCAGAGAATAGACGTCAACCCCAAGCCTCCTAGGGTTTACATTTCATGGCAAATAGATATACAGAAAAAGAGAGGCAAGTAAAAAGCATTCAAGAACCCGAGTTTTATGGGGTTCTTTTACTGGGAAATGTAAAAAACATTTTGAAACTTGTTATACTTCTATACTGGCAGCAGGCCATTATTCAATTAGAATTACAACTTTAGTTTATGCAGCACATGTAAGAAGAAGGTACAACCTTGTAAACAATTCTTTCTGTTCAGCAAATTATGAATTTTCTCTATAAAATCCATCCTTTATATAGAAGATCAATTTGTGTCTCTGCTTTTACTCAGCATTTATTGTAGGTTTTCAACTCCACATAACTTGGTTGACTTCTATTTTTGTTGATTCGTTGAGGTCTAGAATTCTTGAACCTTTTTCAGTTTTGTAAACCCTCAATATTTAATATAGCAATTAGATATTCCATCTAATCTTCACACCATTGCCCTGTTGGATTAAATAAGATCTATATCTTGGTAAATTTGCATAGTATCATACTGCACATGTGTATTTGCTTTCAGAAAGTCATTATGAATAGAGCTAGATTGGGTGCACTCATGCAAGGCATGCAATGCTGATGAGGCATCTATGCTCAGCAGTACTGATGCCTCCTGTTTAGTTTGCTTTGAAAATAGGGAAGGGATGACTATCTCAATGCTGTTAAGGCTGCTTGCAATGATGTCACCATAGAAAGTACCAAAATATATAAAATCAGAGCAACCTGGTGTATTTATTATGCCAGATCAGGAGATATGCTCTATTAAGGTGGCAGAATGGCCACTGAGTCCAATGCATGCTCAGCCCAGAAAGAAACAAGACACTTAAAAAAAAATAGAAATCCCTGCAGCACTCCAGAAAGACCACCAACCAGGAACTGTGCCAGTGTGTCCTAATGGTCCCTACATATAGGAGCAGTCAACAGGGACAGCCTTAATAGTAGGTGGTGTAAATCATCCATCTCAGATGTTGGGTGTCATAAAAAAGGCAGCACAGTACTGTGCTTGTATTTTTACTGCCAGGAAGGCAGAAAGGTCTTTGTGAGATTTTCTGCCATAGAAGTCAAAATAACTTTTCTATACTAGGATACTTTGTAACTCAGGGGGAAGGGCACTGTTCTCATTCAGGCAGCAAAATGTTGCACCTTATCATGTGGAGGACATACTGTATCACCATAACATTGTATTACCACACATATAAAAATGGAAAATGATGTATAATTGGCCCTCCAGATCCACGGATTTTTTTATCCACAGATCCAAGCATCCATGACTTGCAAATATTTCCCAAAATACATAAATTCCAATAAGCAAATCTGGATTTTGTCACTTTATATAAAA